CCCTTGGGACTCTCCTCTGTGCCCCTGCCCATCGCCATCTTTCACTCTGCGTTCCCCTGGGTAAGATGTCATCCAATTCCATCACATGGGCCAGTGTTTTTCTAATTGAGGGTTTCAACCAATAGATTAAAAAATCAATGCAGCAGTATGCCCCAGAATTTTTTTTAATTTTATTGTGATAAAATAAATATAAAATTTACCATTTTAACCATTTTCAGTGTACAGTTCAGTGAGTCAGCACAACCACAATTGTTGTGCAGCCATCATCAACATCTAGCTCCAAAATTCTTTATCTTCCCAAACTGAAACTCTCTACCCATTAAACATTTATTTCCTATTCCTCCCCTCGCAACCATTCTGCTTTCTATCTCTATATATTTAACTACTCATATAAGTAGAACCATTTGAGTCCTTTTGTGATTGGCTTATAATACTTGGTATAATGTCTTCCAGGTCCATCCATGGTGTAGTGTGCTTCAGAATTTCCTCCCTTTTAAGGCTGAATTTATTTTTAAATGAAGTGAAATGTAATTTTTAATGAGGCGGAATAGAAAATATTAAAGTGAATTTCTCATAATGAGGCCAAACATTCTTTCACAGAATGTTGCTTTCAGATGGATGTGTATGAGAGTGTGTTCTGGATCCCTGGGTATAACATACCATGGATAACAATCATGAAAGTTGGAAAAACGGTGATTTCGATATGTGGTGACTCCAAAATCTCCATTGTTAATCTGGCTCTTGTCAACTCACAGTTCCTGAGCTCCTTTCCAAAGAGTTGCTAGATTGCCCTGCAGTGTCTGAGCAGATCTAGACTCAAATTTGTTACCCTCTTTCCTCCAGAGAAGCTCCTTCTCACATATTTCCCACTTGTGGCAGGTTAGTTGCTAAGTTGTGTCTGATTCTTGCGACCCCAGAGACTCCCCAGTCCATGGGATCTCCCAGGCAAGATTACTGGAGTGGGTTACCACTTCCTTCTCCAGGGGATCTTTCCCACCCAGCGATCCAAACCCATGCAGGCAGATTCTTTACCAACTGAACCCTCAGGAAAGAAGTCATTTTCCACTTAGTTCTCCATAATCCGGCCCTGCCTGCCTCACTCTGGCTCCCAGCTATACACGCATTATGAAGAATTACTCAAGTCTCCCCTGAACCTTCCAACTGTTGTGCAAGCTGGGTTTCATCCCCGTTCCATCCACCTCTATTTCTTATGGGTCATTTCCCCTTTCCCTAAGACCCCCTTCAAATGCCTCCTTCCCTGCTCCTTAAGACATCCCAACCAATTTGCTGTGGCTCGCTCCGCATCCTTCGAGTCCCCTGTCCGCATCTCTAGTGTGGCCTATGCATGTGCTACGTGTCATTCTGTCTTTCCCATAGACTGTGAGGTCCTGGGGACCCTGGACTGCGTCTGTCTTGCACATCACTGTGGGTTCAGCATGTAGGAAATCTTCATTAAGTATTTGTTCAAGCGAAAACAGATGTGGAAGCCAAGAAATTGGTGTTTTTTTTCCTTTTCCTTCTGATTCCACATACTGTGCACCTTCTCTAGTAGAGACCCAGAGCCCACTAAGCCACCTGTACTGCCCACCTTCCTCTCTACATCTCCCCTTCACCTTTCTTCCCAGAAGCACCCCCTGGACAGCACAGGGAGTGGCCAGGCAACCAAAAAAGAAGAATGTACACGGACTCACACCCCCACTTCCTTCTGGTGGAGTCTGTCCCTGACTCTCACTGGAACAGCTGGCCCTCTTTGTGGCCCTTTGTGTCATGTCAAACAATGAAGGCTCTGCCGAGTCCATCCACCTGGCTCAGCCCAGAAGCAAAGAAGGGCCACTTGCATGAATCCCCGGCTCCCAAGTAGATCTGCTACCAGCACCACATTCTTACTTCTGACCAGGCTGTGTCAACAGCCTCCCAGCCTCCTCCCTTCTCTACCCCTTTCCTGAAAGGCCCAGAGAGCCTTCCTTCACTTGGACCACATCACTACTCTACTCAAGGACCACATGCGGCTCCCTATGGCCTAATGGACGGAGTTTAAACTGTCCTCTCAGTCCAGTAAGCACTTCCCTAAAGCCACTGACCCAAAAATACATCTGTCCCCTCCTGCCCTGAACTTCCCATTCCCTACACTCCCCCTAGCCCAGTGGGATCCACATCGTCACTGGCCTTCTGAGTTCACTACCCCTGCAGGCATGTGCTTTCAATCATTTCTCCATTACCCAATATTTCAAGAACCTACTACATGCCAGGCACCATATTTGGCACTCAGGGTACAGCTGGGGACAAAACATAGTGAATCCTATCCCATGGAGCTTTCATCTAGAGCAGGGTTTCTCTCCCTCAGCGCTGCTGACGTTTGGAGCTGGATAAGTCTTTCTTGTTGTGGGCGGGCCGTGCATCATAACATCTTTAGCCCTGTCCCTAGCCTCAGCCTGAGAGATGCCAGATGCTCTCCTCTCCCCGCTGTGACAACCTGAAGTGTCTCCAGACATTGCCTGAGGGGCAACAGTGCCCTGATTGAGAACCGCCGGCCTAGAGCAGCAGAGGGGAGCTTGTTACAAATCATCCGAGGAGCTCTTTAAAACGGCCGGTTACTGGGTCCCCCTCCCAGACAGAGGCCCGGGAACCTGCATTTCAGTGACCACGCAGGTGACTCTCACGCAGGCTGTTCCAGCGCATCTACTGGATGAACACTCAAGTGTCAAATGTAGAAACACAGGAGACAGACCAGTAACCTTATCAAGTCAATTCATGACAATGATGAGATGTGTAGGAAACAAGATAGGGGAACAGATGCTATTCGTGCACCAGTGTGGCAGCCACAACCTGGTGAAGGGTCAGGACAGCCTCTAGGATTGTACAGCTGATCAACAGTTAAAGCCACCTGTGAGAGCATAGGCAGGGTCAGCCCAGGAGAGGTGCGAGGAGGCGGGGCTGTATCTCCGCACCTTGGCTCCTCCCCTCTTGGGCTCTGGATCTGCATGCACTTCCCTCACCTGCCCCAAGCTTCTCCTTCCTTCACAAGCCCAGTAGGGTCCCACCTCCTCCAAGTGGTCTTCTTCCCTCCCAACTCCGGTCCGGTGGTGCCTTCCTCCTCAAACATTTCAACGCTCACGTCTTAGCTCATCTGTGACCACTGTGCTTCCCCAACTAGACCTCAAGCTCCCTGAACACCAGGACCACAGCATCTTCTTTAAAGATCCCTCAGTGCCCTCACGGGATGGAGGACATGTGAGTTTTGCTTACTTGATTGAATTCATCCAGGCCCTGGAGCAAGGCCTGTGAGGTGGCCGCTGAGACTGAGGGGCACAAGGTCTCTGTGTTAGAAGATGGGATGCAACTGGTATGGCCGCCGAATTCCAGGCAGCCAGCTCACCTGCCCAAGATCGAGGTGGGCCTGCCAGGGCAAGCACTTAGAAGCTGAGCTGCCATTTGCTGTGGGCAGGATATTTTCCTGGTCTTGATAAGGCAGCAGGGGTCCCAGCAACCCCAGGGCCATTCTGGGTAGGTGCCAGCAGGGGGTAGGAACCCAGAGACAACCTGCTAAGGAGCAAGTGCAGCAAGCAGGCCATTTCAGGCCCAACTGTCCTCGCACAGCGTCATCTTAGTGTGGGCGGGGGTTGAGGGGCCGCAGGCACAATGGGCTCTAACAAGAAGGGAGACCCTCTGAAAATGTCCTTTAAAGCTACCAGCACCACGCAGGGCCTGTCAGCTGCCCTCAACCAGAGAAAAATGCTCTCTGGGAAGGTCGGGGCAGTGGCTGGTTGGGAACAAATGCCCTGGCCAAGAGGCCTCACGCTCCCCAGCTCGAGGTCGCTGAGCGGAAAATAGCCCAACTGTTTGACTTTCCTACCGTGAGCCCGGGCCCAGCAGCAGCGTCACTTGCTCCCATCCCTGGATGCAGCCCAGACTAGGACGCCAGCGACTGATGTGGACTCCAAAGGATGCAAAGAGAACAACTGTTTTATTATTCGGAAGTTTAGGGAAGAAGCCGGGATGTTTATATAGCTTGCCAGGCGTTTTGTTTTCTATCGGTCTGGTGGGGGGAGGGGCAGCGAGGGTAGGAAGACAACTAACAGCAACGGAAAAAACCTCGGGCAGAAAAGAGAAGCGGGGTCTTTCGGAAAGAGGCTTTGAAATGGGAAGATCCTAGCGCAGCCCTCTCCCCCGGTCCTGGAACCCCAAGCGGCTGCCCTCAGCCAGCCGCAGGCAGAAGCCCACGGTGGCATTCCCATGTTTTGCCCACGCAGGGACTGAGGCCGTGCCCCAGCACTGAGTCTCCTTCTCTTAATGGAGTTTGCCCACGGATGAGGTCGGGTAGGAGGGGGGCCCAAGAGGGGAGGGTTAACTTCTGCTGCAGCTCTGACCTTCTGCCGAACGATGAACCATCTGCTTCAGAAGGGATCGGGTGGTGAGTTTCCCGGCGCCAGTGGTTACGGTTCTGTAAGAATTCACTGTTTCTGTCGCATCGTCCGAGCCCACTGTCCACCCCGCCACACCTAACTCTGCACTCCTTGGCGGGGGTGGAGGGGTGGACTGTGTTTTTCCCCCCAGGGGCCCCCACAAAAGTTCAGGACTCGAGAGGTAACCCTATACGGTTCTGAGCCCTCCACACTCGGCAGCCTCCCCTCCAACCACATGGCCACGGCACTGTGGACTTGAGGACACCGATCTGACCCCTGAGGCCGCTCAGGACATTCATATGTTCTTATCCTCCGCTTGGCCTGTCCGAATTCCAACCTGTCCCCGTTTTCCACAACAGAACAAAGTTGTCGGGCCCCTCTGGCTAGCGCTGGGCGCAGGCGTTCTCCTCCGGCTGGGAGGAGAGATGCGTTTAGGCGCGCGGTGACCCAAACCTCACGCGGCTTTGCTCGAGGCTCAGTGCAGACCCCGGGGTGGCTCACCCGGGCCACGCCGGGGCGGAGGCTGCGGCTGCGGCTGCCACCTGGGGGCTTGCTCGCGGGCGCCGCGCAACCCCACCCGCGCTCGGACTTTCTTACCTCTTGATGTAGTTCCTGCCATACAAGATCTGTTGCAGCAAGGTCACCAAGGCGAAGGCGCAGATGAAGATGAAGAGCAAAGTTCGGTTCCCCAACAAATCCCTGTTCGCCGAGGGGTCCGCGTAGCGCATCCTGGCGGCCGCGCGCGCACGGCGGAGCGCGGCGGGCGCCTGGCGCCTGGGGGCCCCCGCAATCACGCGCGGGGCTGCGGGGCCCCCGGGGGCGCGCGGCCCACCAGGCGCCTCTCGGCGCGATCAGGAGGGTGGGGGACTTCTCGGAGCAAAGTTTCCGGCTGGCGAAGCCAGAGCAGGCGCATCCGAGAGCCGCCCGCCCCGGGGCAGCTGGCAGAACAGGGCTGGTCTCCTCGAGCTCCACAGATACCCCAGGCCTCCCTCCCGATGCCTTTACCTCCGGGCGCCCATGCCGGGCAGCCTCCGACTTCCCTGCGGAGGGGCGACGCCAGGTGCCCCGAACCCGGGCGGCCCCTCCCGCCGAGGTGGCGGCCAATGGGGAGCGGGGCTCGGGCTAGGTCCGCCTGTGCGCTGGAAAGCGCCGCGCACCGCCCCCTCCGGCCGGGCTCCGGATCTGTCGCCCAGTGCGGTCCCCGGGCCGGCAGCGAGGGAGAGCGCGAAGGTCGGCCTTCAGTCCTACAGATGGGAGGTGGGGGACAAAACACCCGGACAGTCTGGGTAAAGACAGGCGGGCGACGGAGAGGGGGAGGGGTGGGGCGGAAAACGCCGGGTTTGAATCCCGGAATTTTAGAAGGAGGCAGGAAGGAAAGCCGCGGCGGAGCACTGAGTCACCGCCGCGGCCGCGTCCTCGCGCTCCCGGGGAGATACCTCCCGAGAAAGCCGAGCAAGGTCAGCCCGGCAGCCCTCAAGGACGGAGCGCGCGGCTCCTGCATGCTGATGGCCTGCGGAGCCGCCCGCCCGCCTGCGCCCCGGGCGCCCCACTCCAGCAGGGAGGAGATTCTGGGGCTTTCCGCCCGGCCACAGCTCTCGGCAGTTCGTCAAAGACCTTGTTGTCACCGAGACACTGGGACCTTGTCTCATCCTTGGAACCACTCGTAAATCTTAGGTCAGGCAGCGGGCCGCCTTCGGGTACCACAGTCCCCCAGAGCTCTAGTAAGTCACTTTTTAGAAAGGTCTGCACTTCTAGAGTGCAGACATCGGTGGGGGGCGGGGGGGGGGACCCAAAGAAATGCAATGCAAGAGACGTACTTCTTCAGAGATTCTAACCCCTCACTGGGCTCTCCCATCACCCTTCCACCCCCACCCCACCCCGCACGCCCCTCCTGGGAGTCTTGTGCCTGCAGCGGTCACCACGGAGCCCTAAGTGGATGATTCTAGGGCGTCTCTTTCCAGCGCCCTCCAGCCAATCCGGGCAATTGTAAAGTCAGATCGGGGCTTCATCTCCGAACTTGATGCGACCTCGAATCTCTCAGCAAGAAAAAGGACATTGACAGGGAAGTGCCCAAACTCCAATACTCTGGTCTCAGCATCTAATAGTTTGCTCTTTGAACTGGAAGAACCAAAGAACTCAAGGTTAAATCTCATGATTAGGGTTCCACCAATATCTTGGAATTCATGTTAATTTACAAGGTGAAAGCAGATCCTGTGTTGTCTATGTATCAAATAACTATTATCCATGAGGTTGCCAGTAGGCTTTTAGCCAACTAAAGAAATAACACATAAACTTTTAGATGGTACATTATTATTGTAACCCCATATTTGATCTGTGGTACCACCTCAGCTCAGTTCTGTCCTCAGTCCTGTCCTACTCTTTGCGACCCCATAGACTGCAGCACACCAGGCTTCCTGTCCAACTCCCAGAGCTTGCTCAAACTTTCATCAAGAGGCTCTTTAGTTCCTCTTTGCTTTGTTCCATAAGGGTGATGCCATCTGCCTATCTGAGGTTATTGATATTTCTCCCTGCAATCTTGATTCCAGCTTGTGCTTCATCCAGTCCGGCCAGCATTTCGCATGATGTACTCTGCATATAAGTTAAATAAGCAAGGTTACAATATACAGCCTTCACCTACTCCTTTCCCAATTTGGAAACAGTCCATTGTTCCATGTCTGGTTATAACTGTTGCATTCAAACTGTATGTACAGTTATTTGCATATCATTTACATTGTAGTAGGCAATATATATAATCTAGAGATGTGTATAGGTATTATGCAAATACAATGCTGTTTTATGTAAGGGACTTGAGCACTGGCAGATTTTGGTGTCCACAGGAGCCCGGAACCAATCCTGAGGATACTGAGGGATAACTGTATTCTATATGGGAGGTATTTGGATTGCTTGATACTCTGCAAATGATTAGCAAGAGTCCAGAGCATCTCTCGGAGAAGGTAATGGCAACCCACTCCAGTACTCTTGCCTGGAAAATCCCATGGACAGAGGAGCCTGGTAGGCTGCCGTCTATGGGGTCGCAGAAAGTCGGATACGACAGCAGCAGCAGCAGCAGCGCATCTTTGCTGACACTGCTTTTTTGATCCTAACGACATTTAAAACATGCTTTCACAAGAAGTCAAAGAAGTGTCTTTCACACACACACAATCACAAGCATCTCTGATGGAATCAGAGACTGACGATCTGGAAACATGGAGGTCTGCAGTTCCTGTTATTTCTATTAATGGGGATATGGTTCCATTTTAAGCCAAATTGATATTCTGATGGTAGAATTGCAGCAAACACTCAGAAGGCCTTGCAAACAAAAGAGTAAACACATGGAGAACCGATCCCTCTGCCAGACTCAGCGAACACCATTTTTATATCCTAATTGCCAGGAATGGGGACAGCTGCATCTTTGTTTAAAACACACACTCACGCACAATTAAGCCAAGAACAAATGTCAACACTGGCACAATCTGCTAAATTACTGATAACTGATGGGCATTACTCATGCTGTGAGCATTGTCTCCAATAGAAAATGGAAAGATTCCTATTTTGAAAAGATCTCAGAGGTTTCTACTGGTTTAAGAAAGCTGCATTTTGTTTCAACCACACAACTGCAACCTGCCAGGTTATATAAGTAACCTTCCACCCACGTGTTCAAGGAGTTTATGATAAGAATATGCTGTTCCTGTAGGTCTTTATATGAACAAGGCGGATTTCTGGTTTGGGGACACTTTCCTGTGATGAGGGTGTCTAGTGGCCACTGGCTAAAAATGCCAGGGATGGCCTTGTAATCCACTGAGCCAGGGTTGCCCCTTGCATGGGCAACTGCAGACACTGGACTCTATGCCATCAGTCTTGTTTTCAATAAATTATTATTATAGACTATAACTTAAACTCCTTTTTCAGTTCCCTTATGAAGTATGAGCTTTGTTCTAAATAACTTATGAAATAATCTTGAACGTGAATGTGAAGTCCCCTTTTGACCTTCACATCTCCAGCCTGACAAACATCCTCCTTCTGTCTCAGCACCACCTCTCAGGGGTCAACTGAAAGAAAAATACACAATGTAAAGGTAGAGAGTTAAGTTTTATTCATAGCCCAGGAGACAGTCTCTCAGATAGCTCTGAGGAACTACTCCAAAGAGGTAAAGGAGGAGCCAAGATATATATGATTATTTTTTTGCTGGAAAAAAACATGTAGTGAAACATCAAAAGATGACTGCTAATCACAAAGAACAGACCTCTCAAGTTAATGATTTTAGTGCTTTTCGATGTACAGGAAGATGCAAGAATCTGGGGTCTCTTAGACATTCTCCTTAGACGTGCACCTTAACTATCTATGGACAGTGTATCCAATGGACAGAACACTTCCTGTTTTTTTCCATCCTGAATTTTCTTCTGGAGAAGAAAATACAGTGGCTAATGGCTGTATCCTTGTAGAACTGAAAAGGCAGGCAACATTTTTTGTTTACACAGGTATTTCTCCCCTACATTTGCCCCAGTTTATTCAGTTTGCTTCAAAAGATAGAGGCATCATTACTGTTATTCCATAACGGTTTATGCATTCAGGGAATATGGTGCAGAGAGAGCCATTTCTACCTCAGGCATGTCATACTCCTACAGATCGAAATAGCTACAGTTTATGATAAGGTTACTCAGAACACATTTAGAGAGAATTCCCTGGCAGTCCAGTGACTCAGACTGCACTTTCATGTCCAAGGGCCTGGGTTCAATTCCTGGCTGAGGAACTAAGATCCTAGAAGCTGTGAGTCACAGCCATAAAAAAGAACACATTTAGATGACATGATGACATGGTGGCCAGAAAGAACCTGGGATCTCCTTTGATCACTTTAAAGGCCAAGCTCTGGGGTAGAAACACTGGGATCAGGTTCTGTCCTTTGAGCAAGAGCACTGATGAATTCAGCTGAATGTTTATCATTGCAACCCAATACTGGCCTCGAGATGCGTTTTGTGACTGGTCAGTATAATGCTAGAACTTCAGACAAATGCCTATAAATATAGCTGCCTAGAAATGTCTAATGTTCCTTGGGTACCTGAGAAATGGAAAGGAATGACTGTTCCCTGTGATCATCCATTTCTAAAGCACCAGGGGAGTTCCCAGTCCTGATGCCATGGCCGCAGCAGAGCCCCTGTCATTTACCCACAGTACCAGGTCCTAAAATCTCCAGTCACTTGGTAGCCGTGGTGGAAGAGCTTCCAGGTGCTTGGTCTTCTGTGAATGCCAGGGAAAAAAGATCAGCCAGCCTGTGCCCCAAGAGCTTCATAGCACAGTGAAGAAAGATACACAGTACTCTACAGGAGGCTATGTGTGCCAGGGTGGGGAGGTGGGGAGGGACCGATTGGCAAGAGACGTGTCCAGAGGAGGCAGTGTTTGGCCTGAATTGTGACGAGTAAGGAGGTGGGCCATGAGGAGCCCTGGGACGAGATATGCGGGGCAGAGGAGCCGGGTGGGCAGCCGCAGACGTGGCACAGCCAGCTTGGCGTGGCTGGAGATGAGGCTGGAGGGGGGTGGTGGCAGGAACCAGGACACGGGGAGCTGGGACTGTATCCACAGAACTATTGCAAGATTTTAAGCAGGGGAACAATATGCTCAGATTTGCGCTTTAGATAAATCAATCTGCCGGGTGGTGGAGAACAGTTTGAGGGAGAAACGCCTGAAAAGACATGGAGGTGACAGCTTATCTTGCTTCCCCCTGCCAGCAGCCAACCCCTCCCCACCACTGCAGCCCCCCGGCACCCTACTGGCAGCCAGCCCCAGCAAGGATCAAGTGTACCAACTTGGTAAGGCACTCTCCGCCTCCTTCCAGAGGAGCAGGCCAGGGGTGGAGGTACAGGCTCACTGCTTCATGAGAGCCGGCACTGTATTCAGTGCTTCACATGTGGTTCATTTGATGATGTTCATGGCCGTTGGTAAGTATGCTGGGGGCAGACCCACCACATACTGGGACAGCTCAGAGCTTGTCTCTGATACTCTCCTTTCCTCCCCCTCCCCCCACCCCTCGCTTTCCAGGGTTCCCTCTGGTTCCTTGTGCAAAAATATACTCTCCCCACTCCCTTTGAAAGCCCTGCTCTTGGGAAAGGCTCTGATAGCTTTCATTCAGTACTCCTGCTGGAAAGAAATTCAACATGAAGCTTTTTCTGTGCCTGTAATAAAGGCCGGCTCCAGGAGAGCTGCGCACAGAACACTGGCGAGAAACTTCAGGTGAGCCGCACCATAGCCACGTCCTCAAGTTTTCAGTGCAACCTACTGGGGAGAGAACGTGTGTCTGATGTCACAATAGAAATCCGTGGAAACTGGACTCATTTTAAAGGAAACCTCTTGTAAAGTTTTCTTGTCAACACTTGCATATGAGAAACGACAGGATTGATGTATTCTGCCTGAACACCCCAAAAACAGATCTTCATCCACGAGTGTGCTCACAGTAGGACCGCCTGGCCCTGCTATGTGGTAAGTTTGCCCAGGTGGTCGTTACTTACA